TATATATATATATATATATTTTTTTTTATTATTTCACCGACCAATAAAGTACGCGAGAAAATTAAAAGATTGTTTTTACTTCTTGGTTGAATAGCGCTTTCTTCTGCGTTTAATCAATGACCGGATCGGGGACCGGATATTCGAACAATCGCGTATTGTGCCTGCGAAACGATGAAAAGTTTATCGGTGGAGGAATTAACTCTTAATATCGTGAAACGAGAGAGGATCCGTTTCGTAAAAAAGATGTTTCGTGGAATTAAACGAGAAACGATGTATACGCACTCCTACGCATCTCCAGGCAACAAAGGTCAAGGCAATATTTCTTTCAAAGGAGAGATTCCCTTATATTCATAAGCGGGAAGAAGCAATTTAAGCGGAAGAGATCGGTTTTCCCGGGATTCGTCTCGAGCTTGCTGGCTGCCTATAGAAGAATTCCAGCGATATCATCGTGCATACACGAGTGTGTAAATCCGTGCCATCTGCCCGGAAGTAATCTTGATCGCGTGCATAAAGACGCGAGTAAATACGTACCGACAAACACCGGTATTTAAGCCCTTCCTCCCCTCCCCTCCCCTCCCCCTCCTTCGCTTCGATTCGACAAATATTTGTTTCCACGTCGAGGATCGCCGGATTATCCGGCCACGTTTTCCCTCTCGATAAATACGATCGCGAGGAATTGCGAGTTTCTTAAAAATCCGTTTCATAAGTTTCTTAAGTTTGTCCGTTTGTTATTCAATTCCAATATATGGATCGATAATCGTCGTTCTACTTTAATAACAACGTTACAAGATCATCTTGGAAAGCGGATTGCAGAGAGAGAGTGGTGGAGAGAATCGAAATATTTTTTTTGGAATTTTTCCAATACTCACCGCATTTCCCCTGGAACGCCATCGTGATATTGGCACCCTTGGCGCAGGCGGCCCTGTTCATCTCGCACAGAGACGGATAGTCGGTCCCATCTGTGCCGCAAACGGGGCTCGATCCCTCGTGATCCCCTAAACTCGGACAGGATTCCAGGCACTCGCAGGATGCCTCGCTTCCGTCCCTGCTTCGCACGCATTGCGACCCCTGGCTGCAATTCAGTTTCGTGCACGGATCCTTGATCTCTGTAACAGAGAAATACGGCCCATCCATTCATTTCTTTCTCTTCAACTTCTCCGTTTCATCTTTCCTTTATCCCCGTTCTCGATGGGAAAACTTTCTTCCCCCTTAACGATTTGAATCGAAATTGATCTTTCGAAATTTTCTTTCGGAAAATTCTTAACTTTCGCTTTTATTTCTCGGCTCGGCGTGAAATCTGAAAGTTACGTTAGAAAGAGACGCGGGAGGCGCGTTTAATCGATGATTCCTCCTTCCTTTTTATTCTTTTCTCCTAAACGGAGGGGGAGGTCACGCTCGTTTTCAGGCATCAAACGTAATTACAAACCGTAAACACGGGAGCGCGTCGTAAAACGGTGTGAAATTAAATCCGCGCGATTCACGATGAATAAAGTATCGTCTACTATCGTGGGGAGGATTTAGACCACCGCGGTGCCGCGATAAAACACAGCGTACGAACCGTGACCGTGCCGCCGCCCCTCCCTGGTCCTCGCCACTCCTTTCTTCCCCGGGATTTGAACAGATAAAAGCCGCCCGCAATATATTAAGCCGCGGTTAAGCCGGTGAAAATTTTTAATGGAACCTTCTGATAAAGGGGAAAGGAAGGGCGGTATGTTCAATTAAAATATCCTTTTCGTTTCGAAAGGTCTCGATGATATCGTGACCTCTCCCTCCTCTTATGGGAGACACGAATGAAAGAAAGGAGAAAGGAAATGAAAAAATGATTGTGGGGTAATTTGTATAAATTACAATAAAGAATTATTTTCGCGAGAAATCTTTTCGATCTTAGCACGTATTCGAACAGTCTTGGAATTTAGAATTTCACCAAAGTTTAGAATTTCTTTCTTTAGAATATATGGAGAGGCGTCGTCGTTTCGCTCGTTACTTGTCCAAGTACCTTTTGGAAAAATGTAGCAGCAGTTGGATATCGTCAACACGCCGCAAAGTACCAACACGGCTTTCCCTATCATTGTTTGCCACTTCTGTCGCTCCTTCTGCAAATCAAACCGACCGCCATTCATCTCTCCTCGTTATACCACCTGCGTATTTCAACGTCCTTCTTTTCATGTTTCAAGAACGAGGGTAACACGCGCAAAATAACGAAAAAGAAGAATTATCATCGTTACTCCTCGTGTCGCCATATTGAGCGGGAATATTTATTATATAAATTAATTCTACCACTCTTTCTCCCCCCTTTCGAGAATTATTATTTTCTCTAATTTCAAAGCGCCCTTAAAATTAAAACATTTTACTTGTCAGCTATATATTTGCGATTATTCCATTATTATTTATTATAAATTATGTAAGTAATTTTTATTCTCCATCCCTCCACTATTCGAAAATATGTTCATCGATAATAGTCAAATAGCGGGGCGTTAAACGTTTGTATCGAAAGCCAGTACAGTTCAAACCCTGATGATGGATCGCAGCAGCCTCGTTTTGTATTCAATAACTGCCGTACCGGTGTATTTTCCATTTACCATTCACCGCAACCCGATTATCCTCGTTAACGCATTTAATTCGCCGGCCACTCATCGTCACCCCCTCCTCGCGACGATCGATGCATTATTAATTATCGGTATGACAAAAGCAATTAGCGATCGGTTATCCGACGCCAAACGAGGGGAGGGAGGGTTTGGAGAGCGCCGTTCGATTTGTACCTTTCCGTCCAATCGTGCAATCTTCCTAATGGAACGAATTTTCCTAATGTAACACGGGGGACACGGTCTCCTAATAAATCGTCCTCCTCCAGATATTCGAATCGAGTTTTTCCCAAAATCGGACGGATGGAATTCCGTTTCACGAGAATGCATTCGTGGTTGCACGAATTTTCAACGAAGAAGAGGAGGATTCATCGTAGGGTTATATTACATTTTTTATCTTTTTTTCTATTCTTCTTCTCGTTCTTTTATTTTTCTTTCTGAGAAAGAAATCAAATCGAAATTGATCGGGTTATAGTTTAGATAAGTTAAACGAGCGAGCAATTACGATACGTAAACATTTTCGTATCGAGATTTGGCAAATGCTCGAAATGTTTTTGTTTTCATTTCTTTCGACAGTTTCGTATTTCGGGGATTCCGGGAATTTATCCTTCGCCTCGAAACGATCGATTTGTTTATCTTTCTTAAATACGCCTCGACGTAATATCATTTGGCTTCTGGCAGTCGCGAGGGCAAGCAGTGAATGAAAAGTGCTCTATAAAAGTGTTATTTGTGCGGGAAACATCTTCGGAATAAGCATGGAACAAGTTCTCGGTCCATTCGCTCGAACGAGGTTTGCAAGAAATTTTGATAGGATCAATTTGAAAGTTAAATTAACTCCAAGTTAAAAATTTTCCGCGGCGTTTATTGCTTCTGCAAGTCTCGACTACGCGAGGGAGGGGAGAGGCAAACTTTTCTTATATTTTCGAACTTAATTATTCACTCGATAGAATAAATTGTACGAAAAAAGAAAGGAAGAAAGAAAGGGAAAAGCGTTTAATAATCTAATTATCGATATAAACGCGACATTAAACAGAAACGTATAACACGTTCGCTTGCTTCGAAACTGATAATATCGAAGGATAAACGACGATGTTTAAATGCGAAAACCATCGCGAAACTTTTGTCGCGTGTCGACAAGCAGAAACGATCGATCAGCGTTTAAATTTTCATTTTTTCTTTTTTTTTTTTTTTCAGGGAGGATACACGGGTCGAACGTTTAATCCGCGGCATACGTTCATTGAACGGATGGAAGATTAACATTCTGTATATAAAACTATCGCGCGGCCATTCGGCCAACGAAATAACATCGGATATCAGTTAGCCACATACGGAATAGAATTGAAAAAGCCAGCTTAATCGAGCTGGCGAACCAATCTTGTACCGAACGATGGCTACGCCCCGCGCACGCTCATGGAAAATGACCGATTCGACGTGGTAACGCATATGGTGAAAGTTGCGCGAGACTTGTGATTCCTTGTGTTCCTATTTTCTTTACACTCGACAGAATTGACACGTTACGCGAAATATATATATACGAAGATGTAAATATAAATTTTGTCTCGAGTATTTTATCTCGAGTAATTTTAAATATAACCCGCGCGGATCGAATTCGAGGCTCGTGGAAAAAAAGCTGGGCAAAGTTTCTCCCTCTGGTTTCGTTCATCCGCAAGGGGCGACGTGATATCGTAATTAATAATCCATTTTGCCAGTTTTTGCCTGGCGCACCTGACCGTCGCAGCTTGCCGCTCGCCCGCTTACGGATAATTTATTATCGGTGAGCACCGCATTACTCCGGTGTACACCACAACCCGGCCTCGTCGAAACGTCTGTCAAACGTCGATGGCCAGTTTCCCTATTTTCTTTCGCGTTTTCCTCCCGTTATAATCGTTTAACCCGTTACTCGGCCGTAATTTAGTTTATCGCGTGACAGATCGTTGCCGAAATTCGAATGTTGAAAACCAATGGCTGCTTATTTTTTCGACGTTTATTTGAAATTTCGATCTCGAGCTCGACTCATCTCGTGAGAATAATTCTTGCGAATAATTTTATTCGGATAATTTCCATTTCGAAATATTTTGAGAATATTTTTATTCGTTTTTTTATTCGTTCGTTTTACTTCGTTTCGATTACGAGCAATTTTTCCGACGTATTATTATTATTTTCGACGTAAATTACTCGTGACTTGATATCGTTGGGTAACGTGTTCCCTTAATTACAGGGAATTTTCGAACGGAAGATTATTAATTAAACGACGCGATGTTAATTTTTCTTATATTGGTCTTTATACTTTATACATTTTTATTTACGAAATATTTTTTTTTTATGTATCGTATATTAAATACTCATTTAAAATTTTTCGATGAAATATCGGAGAATTTGTACGTAATCAAATTTGTGTTACTTTTCTCTTGCATTTTTCGTGAAAAATATAAATTTTAGTAAATGAAAAAACGGGAGTAATATTGAAATTACAAAGAGAGAGAGAGAGAGAGAGAAAAAGAGAGGGAGGGAGAGAGAAAAAAACATTGAATTTTTCAATCACCATCGTTTCATTAATAAAAACAAAAAAATATATTTTTTTTAGAGATACGTTTCGCTTTATTCTGCTCGTATATTTATTCCGAAAATTAATAACCGAAAGGAAAATCTTCCTTCCAACCTTTCTTTTCCCCGATATAAATAGTATTTCGATAATTCAGTTTTTGCGTCTATTTTATTCCCATTTCAATCCTGGCAATTTCTCTTTGAGAGAGAAGCTCGATAAAATAAGCAACGGCGAAATTACTTCGCCATTAATTTTCCGCCGTAGTTTTATCAACCCTCCACCACCGCAACCACTGATCTATTCAGTTCCTTAGAGAAAAAGAATTCACTTTGCAAAAGTCTCGCGGCAAAAACTTCATAAAGAATAATCTCCCCCGTTTATTTTTCAACGCATTTCTTATTATTGAACGCCCACTTCCTCTGACCAATTATCGAAAATTCAAGAAATAAATTACGATTAAACGATTCGACCTTTATTTAAAAATTAAGGAAATTTTTCGGAACGGATTAAAATTTACCGATTACCATTCCTTTCGAGAAACGTTCGAAACCTCTTCCAAGGACGACGACGAACGACCACGATATGTACCACGATTGTATCGCCGGCTTAGGTAGCGATGATCGCCAATTAGTGGGTGATTATCGAAATGGCCGATATATAGGTGAACATTTCGATAGATAAGGGGAAGATGAAGGGGGAGGAGGATCAAGAGGAGCGAGTAATGGGATCGAAGGGTCGTCGTCTGTGTGTGGCCGGTACACTCGGACCGTGTCAAATGAGCCTCGTTAGGCAAACTTTGAGAACATCCAGGATATTGTTCGACACGAGGGGGAGAGGGAAAGGTGGGGGGTGTACAAGTGGACTCGATCCGTGGAGCGATGACGAGGGTCGTTCCGGATAAGAATTTCTTCCTTCTCCTCCTCCTCCTTCGCCTCCCTCTTATTCAATAATTTGGCCCATCGTAATGTATAAGTGGCCA